TATGATGATTAAGTGTCTTGTAGACTGGAGTGTTTGATGCTGAGATGTGAGTTGATGCTGATACTATCGAGGCCGAGCAAGCTCCTTTATACCAACTCTATGTGACGATGCCATTCCTCCGTATTGGAGCGGCAGGAGCGTTCCTACCATCATGGCTTCGTAAGCAACGATACTGAGCTCGCGGATTATGACTACAGTTCTGTTTGAAGGCATGTGTAGTCGACTAAGCTTGCCACGATGGATGCGCCAGAGGGATCGTACCTGTGGCTTGCAAGAGATGGTTTGACGATGCATGCTTGGCAGCTCGCAGATAGTTGCCTCGCGTCTATTTTGGGTATGGCGTGGCCTGTGTCGCTCACGTGTGATTCGTCGAGAACTGCGGGGCGGGGCGTTTTAGGGCCTCCACGGGCTGGGCCATCTCCCACCTGCGACTCCCGTCTAGCATTTTCAACGCCCTGCTGTTCGCTTGGGTGTTTCTCTCGTGAACTCTTGATTTCTAATATGCGGCGTTACGATCTCTTTGCAGCACTTACCCGGAAGGTGCACTACTTTGTCTGCCCCGAGCTCTACGCGATACCTATCTAGGATGACTGCGACGAAGGGGTGTTGGACATGCAAAGGTAGTGCTTGATCTCGTGAAGCCCTGGGTAGTTTGCCTTGTTAACATCCTCCGTAGATCGTAAGGTCTCATGTGACCGCACTGTACCTGCGTGCATCAAGTGTTCCAAGACCAAGCGAGCATGCGGTGGTTATGGCATTCGTCTCACATGGCTTCAGAAGGATCAACAGGAGAGATCTCTGCCAACGTCTGCATGTTCGGGGACGCAGCGCACGATAAGCCGACAGAGGACTGAGCAATGGGTCAACGTGTCGCAGACCGATGTCCTCCTCCATATCCTTGCTAGAGATGCTAAAGGCGGAGGTACGGTGTCTCAAGGCAAGCTGTTGACACGACTTGACTTGTGATTAGTAAAAAGCGAGCATGTCGAGAGATATAGGCTTGCATTGCCCAGGATTACCCAGACCATGGTCCCGGTACCGAAAACGATCACTGCTAGCGATGCGGATCTAATACTGTACTGTATGTCCTCTTATGGGGGATGACTGTTTCGATATTAACTAGTCGCAGTTGAGAACGTGATGATTGGTATCCTACCGACCCTGGGCCGTGACAAAGCAGGCATCGGACGGCTTTTATTGCGTATGGCCTTATCTGGACGATCAAAAGCGTCAAAGGCTTTACTGCTATCGGTTGTCGCACTGGCCTCGCGTCATCGCGGACACGATGCGGTGCATGCGGCCCGTGCAAAGAATGCAGCTATAGACGCGCTTATAAGTGCCACAAGCTCTGAAATGGATCACGATGCCAGTATTGAGCACATTGCCACAGGTCTGACTTTGTGTTTGGTAGAAGTGAGTACTCATCCGGAAAAGACCAGAACGAGACTGACGCATTACCGTCGCAATCATAGACAAATCTCGACTGCGATTGGATAGGTCATTTGTGCGGTGCAAGAAATGTCTTACCTAGTGTTGGGCAGAAAGCATACCACATTGGTAGCGATGCAGCCATCATGCTAGAGTGGCTTTACTACTTCGTCACCTTTACGCGCTTTAGCTTCCGGCATTGGCGCACCTATATGATTCGAGCAACTTCGCAAGAGCTTGGTATCAATGGGGCTAGCCCCCGTTGTGTCATGCAGTATCGAATTGCTCGCATACTGGTTGCAAAGAACATGGCTGCAATCTCAACGTACGTTCATCCGGTGGTTCAACTTCTCGCCGACGTCTTAGACACACGACTGTACGCTTCCGACCCGCACTATCATTCGGTGGAATATCAACAGTCCTTGGATGATCTCAAGATTCGACTGAGCGACGTTGTTTTCGTTGTTGATAACGATGGAGAAGACGATGATCAGTCTCGTTGTCTAGAGTTAACCCGACTAGCTGGCCTGATATACCTCGAGCGCGTATCTCGAAACTTCTCAGGTGAATCTACAAGACTAGAAACCTGGAAGAAGGGTTCAATATCCATACTCGCCAGCCTGAACACATATCCGCCATCGTTTGCTATATTCATCGTCGGATGTGAGACGCATACGGACGAAGAGCGGATAGTTATGCTTGACTTCTTTACGAGACTGGAACAACATCCTCACTTGAATAGCTTACTGGAGGCGAAAAGCTTGGTTCAGACAGCCTGGACTCAGCATGATCTCGGGGTAGAAGGCGAGCTTGAGTATATTCATAAGCTCAACTTGGTGTTGAGCTCGCGCAACGTGATACCAAGCTTCATGTAGCCGATAAATCAATGATAGTCTCGGGTAAGCAATGGAAACGACAGACAATCAAACTGGGCTTCTCATTCAGCTATTCATGATCGACATCACACCATGTTTTCAACCCCATCTCATAGCGAATCTCTTGGGTGTCTCTTCCTCATGTGTCTCAGCATGTTGTCTTTCCTTGAGAACTTTTCCACACAGCCGTGAACCATACACTCGACTTCAACTTTTCCTTCCGTACTGTGCTTTGCTTGGATATGTCGCTGTAGGTCGGCTTCGAAACCGAACGGCTTTTGCGTGCAGCCCTCGTACGGGCATTTCGCGCGTTTGTTGTGGATACGGTTGGTATGCTTGCTGTATTACTGTAAGTTGAGTGTGTAGACTAGGTGATGGACTTTCACTTACTTCAAGTCGCAATGGCGGTGGAACCGTTCCAGACAGAGACAACAAACAAAATCCGGTCCTTCGGATTTTATGATCAGACTAGCGATGGAAAGGTATGGTGATACATTCGTCGAAATGCTAGTTGCTGGAGACTCGAACTGGTCAGCCAGCACATCCTCAGGCGATACCAGCGGGGTGGAGGCTGCAGATGAGGTAGTGTCAATGTCCTTGGCGATGATTGTGACCGGAGAAAGGTTCCCCAATATCATCTGGTCATGTTCAGTGGTTTGTATACGTTGGGTGGACTTGGATTAAGGACGGTGGATGGCCGGATTGATGTCGTGTTCAAATACGTTTGGGTCGAAGAATTGGTCTGGGCAGTAATGTGGTCTCGTGGCAGAATGTACATTCGTATGTGAGCTACGATAGTTAGACCAAGTCGCTAGCATTGGCGGACATACATACTTGAGTTCCCATTGCGCTTGGAATGGCTAACCAGTACAGTTAGGACAGTCACATGGAAAAAAATCAGTCATCAAATTTGAGATGTGCTGAGGCGTGAAGATGGTTGTATCCGAAGTATTGAACTGGATCATGTCTCGTTTTAGAACCGCATACGCCTCCTGTGTGACTGCTTCAGCTGTGACAGCGGCCTGCTGTTCATCATCCGGTAAAGCTGCGATTCGAGCAGCTTCAAGTTCTCTGCGATGATTTTCAAGCTGATCGATTCTGTGGGAAGAAGGAGAGGTGTTCGTAGCCGCTTGAGCAATTTCGGTCAGCTGGTTGAACTATGTGCCGTCATCCACGGGCTTATATACATACCATCGTCGCCATCCCTAGAGCTCGATCCTCTAATCATCTTCTTGACCCAGGACACTATGCGATCTATTGCCCCGAGGTGCCGAATTCTGTTTATTCCCAAAGGTCCAGATTCTTGTGGTGCAGGTATAAGAGCACTTGAGTGTTTCGTGAATACCTGGAGTTCTTCTAACGAGTCTTCACTGACAATGATATCATGACTGAGGCTGTCCAGTAATAACAACTCGACTGTAATGAAGCTTTTCTGATGGCTTTTTCGGCTCGACGCATTGATAGAAGCGACAGCCATGTCAACACGGACGAACCCGGCAGTGATTGCTATGCTTCCGTCTGCCAGCTGAATTGCTTCCTCGCCTGGGTAGATTGTAAAGCCGCGCTCAGCTGCAAACGAAGGCGAAATCAGATCGATCTCCGAGCCGGAGTCCGGAGTTGCTAGGGTGTCTATTTGGTTCAGCTCACACGATAGTAACCACCTTGGTTTGTCCACGGAGCACACGGACAGAGCCTGAAGAGCTGGTGTTGGGACGCGTACAAGTCTCTCTCTGTGTTCGGTCATTGTTTTCGTTTGCTCCAGAAAACTCAACCCCATGATGATAGGTGTTGCAGCTTTGAGTAGGACGTAGAATGCGCAAGTCATCGTTAGTATTGACTCCGTTCCAATGCCAAACGAACAGACCGACTCAATCATGCCAATAGCTTCGACAAGCTTACCATTGGCTAGCGCAAATTCCTTCTTTTTTGGTAAGATATCGTACTCTGAGTATCCTAAAGTCCTTGCTACTTCGTCCGAGATTATATTGACATCAGCACCGGTGTCTGCACACGCCAAGACGGTAGCCAGAACTCCTTGTTTGTGAAGCGTGATTGGTAAACCTAAGCGAGGTTTTCTGGGTCTATGTCTCCTTGTTGTGATCGATGACCCGTCACTGCCACTATCGGACTGGATCCGACCACCCAAGCCAAGTGAGAGTGTGAGCTGTGGATCTGTAGGTGCCATCTGGTGAAGCAGCAGAGTATCCATGAACTCCCATTCATGCTGCGGAGCTTCATTATTGTACGACTTGTACAAGTTTTGCCGTGCTTCTCGGCCATCGCCAGCGCGTTCGACGTGAATGTTGCTCTGTATTGACATTAGCTATGCTTCAACGCGGAACTGAAACTTACCAGAGGTACCTCATTGATGTCTCGAGGCAGCCATAAGGGTGTGAATGGCAATGGAGGTTGACTTTTCATATCAGGTTGGAACGGAGTAAGTCCTGGAGAGGCGCGGACGTAGTCATCATCGTCGTAGTATTCCATTTCGCGTATTCAGTATATTCTACGGAGGTGTCATGAAAGATGGGATCGGGCAGCGATGAGCATGTAGTCAGGCTGGGCTGTGCATGAGATGGCGGGGTCACAAGACAGCTCAAAGCCACCACTGACCGGTCAAGCAGCCGCAGCACCAGCTTAGCCTGCTGGACCTCCACATACGAGTGTATACTTTCATTCCGCACCGGCCACGCAGATATGTCCACTGGCAATATCGATACTGAGGCAAGGACACATCATCTCTCTGGATATCCGTCTCTTGCCCACTTCATCGCAAGTGATCGCGATCGAACGACCCTCATATTCAAGCGATACGATGAGCTCGCTGCCCGAAATCTGCTCTATCTGCAAAGCGAGCTCGCCGAACTCCAGGCAAAACAACGCGCTTTTGATCAAGAGGATTTGACAGCAAATCTAAGCATAAAGCAATGTGCACGCAACTATTCAGACTTTGAGAAGGCAGTGAAGGCAGACGAAGCCAAACAAAAGGATCGATGGAAGTTGATGAAAGATATCCGGGAAACATTGAAAGAGTACCGAGAAGCACTACTGTTCGAAAGCACATTAGCGACACTTCCAAGACCACCCAAAGATGTTCTACGCGCTTTCCAAATGGAATTTTATAACCAGATTGACGGCAAAGGAGAGCCTTTTCCTACTCTCGGAGGACATAGCGCTGGGATATATGATGATATCGATGACTTGGTCGCTTTGCGGGTACAAGACGATCAGGATCGATTAACGACGTTTGCGCAGGAGCATTTGGCGTTCTTGTTCCCGGTAAGCGGCGTCATTGTGAGAAGGGTAGTAGTAGCTAATAGAAGTACCGTAGGATCGCAAGCGCTCCGGCAACGGCATAGCCTACGCTTCGGACCGCGCCATTAGCTCCTTTGTAGCGTATTTCAGCACCTTCTTAGCAGCATTACTGCTTATAGGCGCAATTGTCGTACTCTACAAAGTAACGTCGCCGGACTGGAGATTAGGGCTGATAGCGACTTTCACCACCTTGTTCGCTGCGAGCGTGGGTCTGTTGACGAATGCGCGCAGAGCGGAGTTATTCGCGGCAACGGCTGCGTATGTATACCACTCTCCGTGTGCTGAGAGGATATGGCTAATTGGGTGATGTATAGATATGCGGCCGTCCTCGTAGTCTTCGTAAGTGGGGATCTAGGAAACAGTCAATCGAGCACGGCGCCACCAGGCTGAATAGATCAATAATGATATTAACAATGTTACAACAAGAACGCTGCTTCTATATGCGAGCCATCACCCCAAAAAAGGTCAAGATCTCAAGACATCGACTATGTCAAGCTTCCGCGACAACATCCTTTGTCGCCGGATATCAAGCGCGTGAAGAAACCGACGTAGGTCTAACAGACCCCGCACCACTCTCCCTCCTTCCCCAGTTCCTAGGCTGCCTCTTCAAGAACGCACCCACGGCGCCTAGGTATCCCTCATGCCTCAGGAAATACGCTTGCCGCGTATCCTTTGACCAAAAACGAATAGCATAGGATAGCGTATTCATAGTCTGCGAGTGACCGCCGATAAAAGAACCTCCAAAGTATATCCTAGGCAATCCATGCTTCTCAGCATGTAGATGCGCCAACTGGCCGATGTTGTTTGACACAGCGTAGAGAAGCGATCGCGCCATATCTTCTGGACGGAATGAACCAGGGTCATGGGAAAGTTCTGCGGAGCCTTCGACGTGCTCTGCTTCTTCTCTGCGCTTGAGATCGCCGTTGCATCCATCTTCCGCTTCCCGTTCCGCTGCGCGCTTCATCTTGTAGACCTTGCCGAACGACGACGCGATATGTGTGCTCTTGAGCCCGATCTTGTTGTACGCCTGTCCGTAGATGTCTCCAACGAGTAGATCGACGGTGGAGTTGTCGCCGTTCTCCGCGAGTCGGAGCATGTCGTCGAAGCTGCGTGCGCCGGTGAGCAGCGATAGGAGTCCCCAGAGTGTTCCTCCTCCTAGTGATGTTCCACCTATGCGCTCGTATTGCCGCGGCCCTGAAACTTTGATCATGGACACGCCGGAGCCGATGTTGACGAGGAGGTAGGGGTAGATGTTCGGTGGGTCGGGAGGGTGTGGCATGAAGGTCATTGGGCTGTCTTCGCTGTACGTGAAGACTTCGTTTGGTATCTCGTTGATGAAGAAATCGAGGCCTATAGACGCATGGTTAGCACGCTGGTTGCCTATTCGCAGAAAACGCCATCTCGTACCTATGATCAAGCACTCCATCTCGTCTTCCCGTATGACTTCTACATCCAGCGCCTGCTTTATCTTGTCGTGGTACTTGAACGCACCACCGCCAGTCGCCATGATACACAGGTCCGGGGACCTGGATCCATTGTCGTGCTTCTGATCAGCCTGGAGCTTGCGCATGAACTCTATGCACGCATCTATCCGATCTGTCTCGAACTTGAAGAAGTTTAGACGTCCGCCGATCGCATCGTCGCCCGGTTCGCGCGAGAAGTATACAAGTTTGGCTAGAGAGCCTCCTATCTGCGATGCGCACGATGGATTAGCATGCTGCTGCGACTCTGTAAGGGGCTGGTCGCTGTGAATGGTCGCGTGACACAACCAATCAAGCACACGACCACGCAGGTACACTCACATCGACGGCTACATGGCTGACTACAGAAGTGTGGTTCGGCAGTCTGATGTCGTGCGGGTCGTGTTCGTAGTCCTCGCTCTGCGGCGTCCCCGGCTGCTCCTCGTCTACGATGAAAGCCCCCTGGACGTTGATGCGCACATTGCCCGGGTGTTGTATCGTGTCCTGGATGTCGCTCTGCGCGGTAGTCCGTCTCGGGCGTCCCGGTTCCGGGGTCGACGATGTCTCTATAGGATGCGCACGCGATCCTTTGGTGCCGGTTTCACCCGTCGCGGGGTCCAACGCAGGCGACATGGATGCGGATGTTCTGGGTCTTGGCTGCAGCTTCGCCCTCTTACAGCGATGGCGCACGCTCAGAGGTCGACGTCGTCTAGCGGAGAGATGGGGTTGGGATGGCGATTGTGCGAAGGGGGAATGGGGCACTGGAGTCGCTGCTGATAGCGATAGACGTTCCATTTGTCCGCTTTGTAACGGACCTTATGCCCTGGGCAAGACGTGACCTGAAGTTCTGCGCAGAATAGAGCCCAAGGTATGCAAATCCCCCGCTGCCCCTATATAACGGCAGAGGGTGGAGCGCCGAAGAAGAACATATATATCCTCCATATTCATCGGCGGAATGGAGACTGTATATCTTGCGATGCGTGCTGATTACCGAGATCGGGGCAATGTTAAGCTCGGCAACTGGCGTGAGGCGTGATGGGGAACATCCGAGGACCGACTGGGGAGGTTTGTGGGAATACCGCTGACCAACGTCGGTGCATTTAGTAGACTTGAGTAATCCATTATTGTATATCGATCGCGGTAATTAGGCGACGGGTATGATAAGGGCCCTTTCTAGTAGCTGGAAGTACACGTGCAGCCGCACCAAGTGCACAGGTAGGAAACTTCAATTCGAGTACGTCATTATAGACTTCAACTCTTAGCTGCAAAATGTACATGATTCGAGCTTCACCCCGTTCACGCCTTCCTGCGGCACAGTCCATAGCCTCGTACCTGCATACACCCGCGTACCAGGTAGGTAACAGCCGATGACGTCGTGCGCTCGTACCCTCTCTACCAACTTCACAAGCACGACGATCTTCTACCGTACATTCACACGACGCCAACCCCATATTTTACGCTTGAATAAGCTATACGAATCGTTATCACTACAAAATACCAAAAGCTTCAGCAAGATGTCGTGGATGGACTCCTGGTCGCGTCCCAGCAAGCACGCCGTCACCCCACCACCCCTCTACCTCACCGTCGGCGACACAGTACCCTACTGCCACAGCTGCGGGCGCGTAATCAGCGAGCGCCGCAAGACTCAAAACGCAACGGCCGTGAAGTACTGCTCGGCACGATGCCGAAATAGCAAACCAGGTCCCACCGACCGCAAGATCGAAGCCACCTTCGCCGCCCTTCTCAACGGCGCGTCTCCAGAATCACTAAAAGAAAACGCCGGAGCAGACCCGGTAAAGAACAACGCAGAATCAGAAGATGCAAATGACGATGCTAAATTCGGCAAAGGCGAGAAGAAGCACAAGAAAAAGCCATCCAAGACTGTCAAAGGAGAAACTAGAATTATCATCGAATGCGGTACAGTAGAAGAGATAGTCTTCCAGCGGGAAAAAGACCCCGAAAAGGTCTACGGACGACGCAAGAACCGTAAAGCGCGTTTCGTAGTCGAGAAGCCTGAGGATTGGAAGAGCGTGGATATGGTCGATCAACCTGCGTCCAGTACACCTGCTACAGGCACGACAGACGCATCATCTGCAGCATCACGACAACAACCCCCACAAGACTACACCAGCGACGAGGAAAGCGTATCAGATTCCGACGCCGAAGCCGAAGGCGGCATAGTTCTCGAACCCACCAAAACAGCCTCTTCTACAGACGCAGACGCAGACGCAGACCCTTCCGCCCTCCCCGACACCGTAGAATACGGCTACGGCGGCGGGAAAGTGCGGCCACCCCAAGCGCAAAATGATGTCAACGGCAGCGTGGGCGGAGAAAAAGGCTGGGCCGAACGCATCGAAGAGACCGATGAGATGAAGTTGAAGCGGAGGGAGGGGCAGCGGAAAGCGGATGAGAGGGAGATGGTGCGCAAGGCGGCGAGGAGGGGGTGTGCGTTTGGGTTTGCGATTGAGGGGGAGAGTGAGAAGAAGAAGTGTGAGGCGGTCATGAAGGGTGTGGTCGTTGAGAGTAGTTTTGCGAAGGGGGAGTGGGGGGTTAGGTGGAGGGAGATGGTTTGATAGTCTCAACCATTCATGTATCAACAAAGTGAGAGAGAAGATGTAAAGTCAAGGACACTGCCTGATAACCAAGGCAAATAAATGTCTAAGAACTAACAACTGTACGATTGAGTAGAACGCCGATATGGCGACGGTGGGTATCAAGAATATTCAACCAAAAACGCCTTTGTCCTAGATATCCAATCGGACAGCCCTTCAACGATCATCTAGCAGCCCTTTCCCAAGACCCATCTTCATGCATTACCCACCCAGCGGCCATCAAAGCTTTGCCTTCCTTCATGCCCGGGTGGATGATCATCTCAAATCCTGGTCTTAGTCCAGCGCCAGATCTAAACAACATGTTAGCATAACCATCCCATTCGTTCGATTCCCCTTATTATCAGAGCAGAGGAAAACATACCTGATCATATGCAAAGCCATCGTCCTCGCCTTATCCTTCAAATTAACCTGATTCCTATTGATCAACCTCTTCGGCCCATGATCATCCTGGTCATGCTGCAGAATCTTCGAGTATTTCCCACGATACATGTTCATATACTGTATCAGCGCGTCTTCTTCGTCGTCGGTCCACTTCTGGCGGCCTTTGCGCTCGGCTGCCCGTTCTTGCGTGGTGACTTCGAGAGCGCGGTTTTCTTTTGCGAGACGTCGTTGGTCGGGCCAGGTTGACGAGGGCGGTTCTTCGGACATGGAGGGCGCAGAGGTTTCGGAGATGGATTCTTCTTGTTCGGATTCTGGACGGGGAGGAGGTTGGTGGCTAGTTGGTGCTGCGGAGGAAGAGGGTATGGGTTCGGCGGTGCGCTGTTTCTTTGAGACGGGCGCGTTGCGACGCCGTTCTGGGGCACGGAAGCCGCGGTCTGCAGTTTCGAATTCGTCGGATTCCGAGTCGGAGATGTCGATTACGCGCTTACGTTTGCGTGGGGATGGCAGTGCGGGTTGCTTGCCTTTGGCTGTATTTGACGGGCCAGGTGTTGGCTGGGTGCTGTCGAAGCCGTCGCCGAATTCGATGCGCTGTGCTGTTGGTTGGCGATCGAATATTGATACTGGGCGGTTCTCTTTCTGCGGCTTTGGAACGGCTTTCAGTGCTTTTAGTAGAGCTGCTGAGCTTTGCGGTGGGCCTGATGCTTGAGGTGCTTCGACCTGCTCTTCGACTGGTTCTTCGGGCTCTTCCATTCGGCTTTCTTCCGTCGTTTGTTGTCGGGGTTGCTGCTGTTCAGACTGCTCCTCATCGGGCTGTTGCAGGACGTCGCTTTCATCTACCACCTGCATATCATCCTGTTGGTGATCCGTCCTTGGCTGCTCGTTCTGCACTTTTTCGATCGCTTGAGGAATATCCTCATGCTCCTGCTGAGAAGCCGTG